AACTTTAGAGCAATTAAGTTTAGCAGAGTTTATCTGAGCAAAGAATGAATCAGGCAACACTCAAAACCAGAAGAGGTTCAGAGAGCTCTCCACCCAGCGGCATGAGCAGCCAGCTTTTATACGCCAAACACAGAAGCAAAGTAGAGAAATCACCAGACCGGCTACAGCTAGGCAGTTGCCTTATTTGAGCATGGTGTGATGAGGCATTTGCTTTATTGGGCCTAGGGTAATGAGATGGTTGCCTGTGATTGGCTGAAACCTGGCTGCTTATGGTTAGCTGAGACTGCTATTTGTTACACTCCTCCGGTAGGTTTCAGTTTGTTTATGTTCTAACTTAGGTTGCAATTTGTTCTGTAGGATCTCAAAGTATGGATCCAGCCTTAGGCTAATGGTATCCTGCTTATTTAATTTAACACATATAATTTAAAAATAGGATAAATAGGTCTACATTTTGATATGAGGTAGCATTTAAGATATTTTTTCATAATTTTTTCTTGACTATTATGAATAACTAATAGCTCGTCATTAATAGCTCATCATTTTCTCTCGTTTGAATTTTATTTGATTTATCTTTAAAATCTGATTTCAAGTAAATATGGTAAGGAATGTGGTATAAAGTTTTATCACTATAATGAAGTTATTAGGAAGCAAAAACCACATCTGTTGCCTCAGTGATGCATCAAGTAATAATATTATAATTTTTCTATACCAATCAAAACATTTAAAACAAGTTGTGATATTACAAGTTATTAATATGATAAGAAATTGCATATAATCTCTTTATAAAAGTTAGAGTAATGGTCTATTTAGAAGCAGAAAAAAAAATTCTAAAGAGAATTATCCTGAAATAGGAAAGAGTTTATCACTTAGTGCACAGATTCTCGACCTTGGCATTATTTACTTTATTGATTCAGTAATTGTGGATTGGGAAAGGGGAAAGGCTATCCAGTGCATTGTAGGTTATTCAGCAACATCCCATCTATAACCTTGATGCCAGTGGCATATTACCCAGTTGTGACAACCAGAAATATTTCCTGGCGTTGCCAAATGCCTCTTCTGTGTGTGTTTGTGTGTGTGTGTGTGTGTGTGCACTCGGGGAAGAAGGGGAGAGATGATAATCGCCCTGCTTGAGAAGCACTCATTCAAGTTAATAATACCTAAGTATTTACTAAATATTTTAAGCTTTTTTTCTTTATTTTTTTTTTCTATTTATTGGCTAATGTGTGTGTGTGTGTGTGTGTGTGTGTGTGTGTATTCCTTTTACTGGATAAAGAAAGTTTAATCATCAAATGCACTTTATCTGCTTAAATGAATTTTAAAATTTAAATATAACAAAAATATTTTATTCCAATGCTTATTAAATATAAGAAAAAGAAAACACTGAATTTAGACATACAACAAAATAGCTATGAACTATTTCTATAAATTATTTGACTGGATGATTTTCTGCCTGTTTAATTATGTCAGCTATATATTAAATATTAAAATTTATTTCATCATTTTATGATCATTAACATCAGTAACTCGGTCTGTCTGGGGTACTGAACTTGTTCTGAGTCAACTCTTCACTGCCTGCCCCATTTTGATGATCCTGTTTCATTCCCAGCCCCTTCCCGCTTAGAGTGTGATCTAAAGCCAACTGGATCATGTCTGGATGTATTTTGAGATACAACCACAGGTTCAGAACATCTTGGTGTTAGGGTAACATTATCAGGTGGCCTCATATCATGGTCACTGTAGTCCTTTGGACCTAGATCCAAATCCCAGCATCATCACTTACTAGCTGTGAAACTATAAGCCAATTATCCGACTTCTCCACGCTTCCTTTCTTCATCTATCAAATTGGAGTAATATGTATCTTACAGAGTTGTGAGTATTAAGTGATATCAGGTTGTTAAACAGTGTCTAACACAGAACGAGCACTTAATAAAGGTTAGTTATCTTTATTATTGCAACATAGTTCAATGGTTCTTTCAAAAAATATTTTGTGACCATCTCTACTGTGTGCCAAGAGGTGTTTTCCTAAGTTGCTTAATCATCACATAGATATTGAACTGAAATTGGTCTTCAAGATTAGAGAATCCTAGGCCACAGGTCCAATACCTATTTCCTGGACACAATAGCTGTGTCCAGAATTAATATTTATTTAATGTAAATAAATTAATTATTTCATTAACAAATTGCTTTGATCATTTTTATTCAGTGGAGGTCATATGAAAATACTTTGCAGAAGCCAAAAACACAAAATCACACGTAGATGATCTGAAGAATTCAGCATTTTCTCCACAATCCTCGAAAAGAATGTGATTATGGTAGACTTCATTTAAAAAGGAGAAAAAAACTTTTGAGCATTTGAGGTTATGATTAGAACATGTAGTTTTATCCTTAGGTTATTTGACTAGAACAGCAAATGCACATTCAGTGTTTCATTAAAAAGCACATTCTTTCCCACAGACATAACAAATACATTTGCAGTGAAAGAATTTTATTTTCCTCTTGCAAACTTTGCCAGAGCTATGTGGAAAAAGACCAAAGGATTTATTACCTTTATAAATCCATTCACCTAACTTTGAAAGACTTTTTTCTAGGCACCAATTAAAATTGTTTTTATTACTTTCATTTCTTATTGGAATTTTTATAATTAAAGTCATCAAAGAAACAATTATCAAAATGTAAGGTAAATGTGAAGTAGGTATATCTATATAAGCTCCATAAATCAAATGCTAAGAAAAACTTTTTCTCAATCAGAATAGTTGAAAAATAAAAAGAAAGCTTTAGATGCTATTTTGTGAAGTCTAAAGGAAATGAATATGTATAGTATTTGAGTATAAATAACATCTTTACACATCCATTTATTTCATTTACAAAGAGAGAAACAATTGAAATCAAAAACAGAAGAAGAAGCAAAGAGAGGATAGGAAATGCTTGCATTGGTTTGCTTGTCTTATAGTGGTTAATGTCTCTAATCTCAGTGGAAAACTGGGCCATCATTAGATTTGAGCATAGCTAAAATCATTCTTTAGGTCTTCATCAGATTCCAAAACCAATTTCACTATCTTAAAGCGTTAAGCCTAACATGGAATTATTTCCAAACTTATTAAGATTGCTGAGGAGCTTTCGAAATAGATTAGTAGAAATCTCTCATTTTATGGAAAAGGAAATTGAGGTCTGAGGAAATGTGCTGTGATCCAGTTTATGAGTCACCCAAAATTAGAAGACTCAATATACAGTTGTCTAACCTTGTTTTTGATCCCAAGGGTGTTATCCAATTTTATCACCACCTCACTTAATAGGCTTAGCTCAAAATGACTTTTGACTCTTTTCTAAAATCCAGTCCACATTAAAGAAAAAAAAAATTTCCTTCTAAAATTTTTCTAGGACTGTGTCCCAAGACCTCGAAAGTAAATAAGAGTAACAAAATATTTCCAAGTCAAGATAGTAGCGTCTAGAACAGCACTGTCCAATAAAAATGTTTTCTATTAGACACATTAAAAAACTAAAGGAAACAGGTGAATACATTGTAATATGTTTTGTTTAAACTCAACATATCAAACTTTTAATCATTTTAACATGTGATAAATGTTAAAAATTATTAGGTGTTTTATATTCTTGTTTTCATACTTAGTCCTCAAAATCCACCATGAATTTTACACTTAACAGCACATTTCAATTCAGATTAGACACATCTCAAGTGCTCAGTAGCCAAATGTGGCTGGTGGCTACCATCTTGGACAAGGAAGATCTAAAGTGACAACAATTATCCAAATTCTGCATTAAAATTAGACTTCTTGAGTTTAATTATAAGCATGAATAATTGTTGGATGAATATTCAATTGGCAATTTTAGATTTCTAAAATATTAGAGACTACTCTCTTCTCAGGTTCTGGATTTCATATTACAACTATATTGGATTTCTCATGTCTTTCCTTTTTTTTCTTCTTTCTGTTTATTTCTTCCCCCTTTTTTGTTCTATTCTGAAAGAATTCCTCTAAATGCCCTTCTAATTCTTTGATTAAATTTTCCATAGCATCTCATTAGATCTTCAAATTCTCTATTACTCACTTAAATTCAATAATTTTTCTTTTCAACTGAGTGAGGCACTATTTCTTGATCCCAGATTGTTCTCCTTGATAGATTCAATTTGCTCTTGACTCTTTCATTGTGGATTAAATATTATTAATTTTCTACCTTCTTTGAATTTATTACATTTGATCCCTCCAAATAAGTTTTCCTTCTTCATACTGTTTAATAACTGTACAAATATTATGTGGTCATTTATTTCAGAGTGCTGTCACAAAACGGTGGAATGCATGTGTGGGTTAGCCAACTGTAGTCCACACACCAGGCATAGGTAGTCAGCCTTTGAAGCAACTAAACCTCTTTACCAGCAAGGGGTTTCAAATAACATTATTTAAATATACATCAGGGGTATTATTAACATAAAGATTGTTAGAAATTAATTTGGTGAATTTTTGAAGCATTTAAGATATGTGGTTCAACAGAATGATTGCATGGGCAACACATCTCTGGCATGAGCAACATGTAAATATCCAGTATGCCTAGAATCTGAACATCTTTGTAGTAACATATGATATCTAGAGCTCCACGTGTCCAAGGTCTGGGTAACAAGGATTACAATATAATCAAAACCAACTGCAAATCAAGCTGATTCTGCTGTCAGATATGTTTGCATTTCCCTTTGAGTGATCTCAGATAAGGTCCTAGTCAATATACATTCATCTTCAAGTTTACAAGAAAATGTTGCATGACTGTTTTTGTGTCTTTCTATTGATAAATGTGAGTTTATTTGGCAGATTTGGTCTAAACTTATTTTCAGACAGATAACCTTTTAACCAGGTGTCAAACAATATATACCTAACTTCAATCTGTAGAGGCTATCAATTATTGAACAGCCAAATTGGCTCAGGTTGGTTTTAAATGATAGGTTCAGTCTTTTATCCTCCTTTTCTCTTTATTAAAAATTAGTTAATTGGCACTCCCCGCCGGCCGCTGCCTGACACGCCGCGCGGCCCTCCAGTCTCCCGCGGTCGCCTCCCCCAGGCATGGCACAGGGCCTCGCCTCACTATGGCAGCAGCACGGCACAGCACGCTCGACTTCATGCTCGGCGCCAAAGCTGATGGTGAGACCATTCTAAAAGGCCTCCAGTCCATTTTCCAGGAGCAGGGGATGGCGGAGTCGGTGCATACCTGGCAGGACCACGGCTATTTAGCAACCTACACAAACAAAAATGGCAGCTTTGCCAACTTGAGAATTTACCCACATGGATTGGTGTTATTGGACCTTCAGAGTTACGACAGTGATGCACAGAGCGAGGAAGAAATTGACAGTCTTTTGAACAAAGTTGAAGAAAAAATGAAAGAATTGAACCAGGACGGTACTGGGCGGGTGAAGCGATTACCACCCATAGTTCGAGGAGGGGCCATCGACAGATACTGGCCCACCGCTGATGGGCGCCTGGTTGAATACGACATAGATGAAGTGGTGTATGATGAAGATTCGCCTTATCAGAACATTAAAATTCTACACTCAAAGCAATTTGGAAATATTCTCATCCTTAGCGGGGATGTCAATTTGGCAGAGAGTGACTTGGCATATACCCGGGCCATCATGGGCAGTGGCAAAGAAGATTACACTGGCAAAGATGTACTGATTCTGGGAGGTGGAGACGGGGGCATATTATGTGAAATAGTCAAACTGAAACCAAAGATGGTCACTATGGTAGAGATTGACCAAATGGTGATTGATGGATGTAAGAAACACATGCGAAAAACGTGCGGTGATGTCTTAGACAATCTTAAAGGAGACTGCTATCAGGTTCTGATAGAAGACTGCATTCCAGTACTGAAGAGGTACGCCAAAGAAGGGAGAGAGTTTGATTATGTGATTAATGATTTGACGGCTGTTCCAATCTCCACGTCTCCAGAAGAAGATTCCACATGGGAGTTTCTCAGACTGATTCTTGACCTCTCGATGAAAGTATTGAAACAGGATGGGAAATATTTCACACAGGGGAACTGCGTCAATCTGACAGAAGCCCTGTCGCTCTATGAAGAACAGCTCGGGCGCCTGTATTGTCCTGTGGAATTCTCAAAGGAGATCGTTTGTGTCCCTTCATACTTGGAATTGTGGGTATTTTACACTGTGTGGAAGAAAGCTAAGCCTTGAAGATGAATATCCCCAATCATGTGTGCTGCAAATAACCTTCCTGACCTCCATATGC